TCTGGCCCCCCACTCCCTCCCAGGCACTTCTTTCAGGGTGGTGCTATTTCAGAAAGGCTCCCTCCAGCCAAGTCAGTCCAAGCCAGTGCCTTGTTCTGAGACCCTCATGCTGGGGCCCCACCTGCCGTCTGGAGAGGATGGTTTTAAAAATAAAACAGATGATTTCATGGGTTGTACTTGGAGTAGCTGCTTTCCCCTTGAGGGATCAACACGATATGGGTGCAAGCTGTTTTCTCTGCTTCTCACGCGTTGCTCTTTCTTCAAAGTCTGAACGCTCCTTAAGACCGTGAGTATAAAAATCACCTCTTTGTTTACGGATGACTCTGAGAACCCACTGCGTAAGAACGTCAGCAAGGAGAGGCTGTCGCTGTGCCAGCTCAGCTACCTGGAAGTGCCCTTCCATTTACTGAAGAATTCGTGGCGGGAAAGCAACAGGAGAAGCAGTGTCTCTAATCACGGCTGTTGCTGGAATATACTCCAGCCTCACAACAACTTGAATGGTCCAAAGAAAGAGATGTTTGGCATTATTTGGCACATCGTTGTCGCTCAGCAAATACTGGCCGAGTGTTCCTTATCTGTTGGGAAGACTCTAACTTTATGAAACTGTAAAGTCCTTTGAGTGGCTCCTTGAATATACTTAAACAGAACTCAAACATAATACACGAAAATATCATTTGCTTGGGAATGCATATGCAAACAAACCAGCATTAACATGGTGAGACAAATTTCCAATAGAGTCCGGAAATGCTTGGGAACCTCGCCTGCAGAGAGTTACAATAGAAAAATCAGCATTCCTTAGTCGTTGCAGATTGGGGGCACCTTATCTGAATCTGGGGACTCCTGAAATTGTATGCAACATTAAGATGGTTTATTTGTGTTGTGTACGTGCGTGTGTGTGTTTGTTTTCTGGAGAGAAGAGACAAAACTGTCATCAAATTATCAAAGGCTCTGTGAGTCAAGAAAGGTTAAGATCACTGTTTTCAATGACTGAGATTTCAGGAGGCGCTGGGCTCTTGATACACAACCACTTAATTTGCTTCTCCTTCTGGCGTCCAGGCCCAACAGGAACAAGGAGAATTCCCCAAACTTACGTTACTCTAATATATAGTGACAACTCTTTGGAGTCATGTAATTAAAAATAATAATTTTCACGTAGGAACTATATAAAAATAGACACTTGGGGAGGATTTTAATTTACACGTATAAGGTGTGCAAGTGTGTACCTTTCTTAATCGCTTCCTCTTACCTATCTCTTCCCCACTTAGCTTCCTTTACCTGGCCCTCGGGATCTATTCCAGGTGGGCCACAAGGAGATTCCCCACAGAAGAGAAAAGTAACCACATGCAAGAGAGAGATCACAAAAGCTAAGATCTGAGTCTTACTGCAAAATTCTTTCGTGAATGCCAAGTCTTCAAAAGTCCCCAGGGTACCCCTTCTAGTAGAGACGCACCTTCTCACATGACCTTCAGTGCAGCACAGACCATGACTCTCTAACCTCCAGAAAGGTTCCTAGGGCGTGGAAGGGAAGGACGCCCACGTAAACCAGTAAGGCCCTCATAGGCGCCATGTTCCAGCAGAGAGCAACCTAGAAGCTTGATCCCTCTTTAGGGGATGAACAAGGATGAGGGACCGTATCTTCACCTCCCTCTGCTGAGTCTTCAAGAGGGTCCTGTGCTCTGAAGTTGCTGACAAATACTGCAGTCACCAGGAAAGACTTCACTGGGGAGAAGGCACTACACCCCAACAGCTCTACACTTTTGCTTCGGATCTGGAGGTGTTGTGAACGCCCAAGATGTGTACAAATGGCATGTATGGTTTCTGGGAAGAGGCTTTAAATGGATGACTTTAAATGGATTCTGGGATGGGTGTGTGACTTCCCCTGATGTGGACACCCCCAGGAACTTTGTGAGGACAGGCTGTGTAGCTATGTCCTTTCAGAAAACTGCCTTCATTTTCTTGGTCAATTCCTTCCCCTAAGATCTTGCAGGAAAAACTATATCGAAGGCCTAATAAAATAGGGATATCGTTGCAAGCCAAACTTGTCCTGAGACCTGCTTTTTATTTTTGTTAAAGTTCCATATAAAAATAAAATTTTTCAACCGAAGTTAACTGTAGCAAATATGTCCATTAGACAAAAAGAAACCACATACATAAATAGGATAGTTCTGGGTTTTGTTTTTTTTTTTTTAGTCGTCTTGTTTTTAAAGTCATAATGTGAAAGAAAGGTAAATCTTCTTATTTCCAGCCACAAATCGCAGGGAATAAGGAATGCCCTAATTTCTGAAGTGCAAACTGATCTTTTCAACGAGGAAATACCAGGCATCAAATATTTAGATTTTAGAATATTTTAATATCCATTTCTTGAGTGGATGCATTCTGAAATAATTAGAATTAACAGTTTTAAAAGAGCAGAGTGAAGAAAAGATGGAAAATGCAAACAGTTGGTTCTCGTCAATTTAATTTCAGGTTCTAGGCATGATGTGATTTTCTGAAACAACCAGCCAAAAAACGCTTACCTCAAAAATCTAGAAATGCAGACGCAGACAGATCTTTGGAAACTACACATTGTTACAGTCCACGTGGTGGGAAGCACGCGGCCTTCTGGCTCTCAGTGTCGTGTGCAAATGCGCAGGTGCTGCCTTCGAGAGCAGTCAGTGTTAATGGAGTCGCGTGCAGGTGTTGCATAATCGGTGTGACTCTTCAAGCTACTTAAGGGCTTCATAACTGATGCTCTACATTTGTTTGCACTGGATAAAATTAGGTGTGCTTGTTTACATATATATACATATACATATACATATACATATACATATACATATATGTGTATATATATGTGTGTATAATTCGATCTGACTTGGGGCCAAGAAGAAAACAGCAATTGCAACTCAAAGCGGCTATTTACACACATTCAGTTCTGAAGTATTGCTTCCTGACCTAAGTTTTTAAGAGGTATTGCCTCTGTGAAGAGCACGTCCGTCATACTGATAGCACTTGAACCACTGCTCAGGGGCCTGTCCTCAGGGACTCTGTTCAGGGCCAGCGGAGCTGGAGGCACGGCATTTCCGCGGCACAGATTCTGTGGTCCTGCATTGAGGTATGCTTCAGGGCAGGGAACTGGGAAGGACCCAAGCCACATAGTGGCTCAGCAAGAACATCTGTACTGGTGATTTAGGAAGGCTTGGGGTGTTGTGTTGTTTTGTTTTTTTAAAGACAATTTGGAATTCTGGATGAGCCAACCATCAAAGGCTCCGATGTGCACACTGCTGGACCAGATCACCAGGCGTTCAGACCCTCTCCCTGAGGTCCGCGGCGTCCCAGGGTCGGGAATCACAAACACTTTTGCAGGAAGGGAAGGGAAAAGAGAATGTGCAGGGGAGGAAGCATGTGCAGAGATGAACCTTGTGGAACAGCAGAGACACAGGCGGCCCGTCGGCAACCACCTGGCCCCGTCACTGCCAGAGCTACAGAGCCTGAGGGCAGAGGCCAGGAGAGCCCCACACTCCAGTACATGCCTTAACACTGATGGGAGAAGCCCCTAACATGCCCACAGTCCCTATGGACAAGGACGGTGTCGGGTAGTGTTTTAAAATAAAAATAAAAATAAAAATAAAAACTCTGTGGTTTCTTAGAAGAATACATTCTTTAGAAGCAAGAGGTATTGTCACACCATCCTTCCTCCAGCATTGGAAGACCAACAAACTGACAGTAAAGCCTGAAGGAAGATCTTAGTTACTGAGAATGCCTCGACTCCCTGGGACGTCAAGATCCTGGATATGGCTGCATTGTTGGGAGGCCACTCCACGTGTGTTCCCCTGCCCTGGGCAGCTGGCCCATCAGAATCCATATTTCCTGATCCCAGAAATGGCAGATTCTAGATGAATTTGGGGAGGGGGGAGACTGATAATGTGACTTGATGTAGATGTGACATTATACAAAGATTTAGCAGCGAAAAGAAAATGCACAGGGTATGCCGGTGAAGACCTTAAACAGAGAAGGAGCTAGTTCTCAAACTATCCTGTGAACCGTAAGCTCGAGTCACCTTGAAAGTAACTTTGCCAATGACAGGGCAACACGGGCCTGAGTTCAATTCCATGTACATTCCGGACTCAATGTGGCCAAACGTCCTCACAGGCAGGATCAGCAACAAATAACCACAAGTGATTTCCCCCTTAGGTTTTTTCTACTTGTCCTGGCTTGACACCTCATGTGCATGCGGCTGATTCTGTCTCTACACACAGCAAGAGAAAGCCAGCTAAAGAGGGTTGGGATTCACCAGGTTCAAGACTGCTGCACACAGGCCCTGCACAAGCCAAGAGTGGGAAAGGATGAGGAACTTCTCGGGTATATACAAGCCAAAGCCACTGGCACTGCCTGCCTACCACTGCGCTTGGCCCAGACCTCCTGCCTCATGTGGGGCAGCGATCTGCCTCAATCCCTGCAGTGGGGAGGCCCCAAGGGCACAGATCCGCAGCCCATGGGACAGAAGTGGCAGTGCCCATAAGGTTTCAGAACCACGGCTGAGAGCATCTCTGTCCCAGGGCCATCCCAGGGCACGCTGGCCAGGCCCGGTCAGGCCTTGCTCAGCCGCTATGTGGAGTGGTGGCCCAGAGCGGCCAAAGCACTAACAGATATCTTCTCATGCTTCCACTGTGCCCCCTGCAGACCCCCTCCCCCCAACCCAGTCTATGTCCCTTTGCCGGAAGGACCTGGCTGCTCCTCCCCCAAGACACACATTCCCTGATAAATAAATAAATAAATAAATGCAACCCTCAGACATTTATTTTGAGTTTCCCTCTCCGAGGATTCAGCTTCAAAGACAAACCCCTTTGCTCCCAGCTGGAAGACCCCTCTGTGTCCAGGGCAGAATGAAACACGGCTTCTAAATACCTTGGACCTGGGTTCACGAGCTCTGCTACCGGCTAGCATCTGCAATCTTGGCCTGCACGGGGAGGAAGCCCTGACAGCCCGAGGCCCCAGGTGCTCTGGAAGGCGCAGGTTGGGGGGCGGGGTGTGGGCCGTCCTGGCTGGCGGCTGCTTGCAGCCCACGGCCCCCCACCTCCCCTCACAGTGAGTTACTGGCACTTGATCTCAGATTCATGAATGAAAGTGTGTGCGTGTACATGTTTACACAGAAAGGTCAGGTCACTGGAAAACACTAGCATGTATACAAGAAAAAAACGCAAAAACGTTGTACTAGCAAAAACAAAACAAAACCCCAAACTGCCTTGTGAGAAAAAGCAATAAAATGATATCTTAACCACAGCTTTCATTTAAAAAGTCCAGCAATACCCCATGCCATGATCTCCACGGGCCGCCTCTGTCCCCGGACGCGAGGCTGCGGTCAGCCCCTGAAGGCACTTGTTCTCCACGCTGCTGACGGTCACACCCAGGGGATGGGGCTCCAGGGGAGAAAAAGCAGAGAGACGGATGTGCGTGGCGCACGCAGACGTCAGGGCAACGACCACGCGGCGCTGCGCCCGGCGACGGAGGCTGTGGTGCTCGGGACACACAGCAGGCGAATGCAAACTCGACTGTTTCGAGGAACAGAGCACCGTGGCAGCGATGGACGCTGCGTCACACGCTCTTGGAAACGTTGAGCCTGGTGAGTTCGCTGGCTTCTTCCACGCCCACTTCTTCACAGTCGCTTTTCTCTACGGCTTTGCCAAATCGAGACCTCTCTTCGGGTTTGACGGGCTCCTTCCACGGCCTGTTAGAGGACAGGTGAGCGTCCTTGGCCTGCATGTTGTTTTCGGAACCCAGAGATGTCTTGTCTGCATTCTGTACAGAAGGCACCAGGCTGGCGATCTCCTCCGTGGGAGACCGCCCGATGCTGCCGTCCACCTGGACTCGGATGTCCGGGGAGATGGACAGCTGGTGCTGCGGCACGGCCCCGCTGTCCATGCACTTTGGGTACAAGTAGGTCTTCATCTGGCCCTTGCCCTTCACATTGACTGTCCCCCGGTAGTCGAAGTCGTAGCCCATCTTGCTCAGGACGCGGTAGCTCTCCTCACTCACCTGGATGCGGCACTCCACCCCCGTGCTGTCCATCCTGCTGGCGATGTTGACGGTGTCGCCCCAGATGTCATAGAGCAGCTTGGTGGTGCCGATGACCCCTGCTGTGAGAGGCCCATGGTTGAAGCCGACCCTGAGCTTGAAGTTGAACCACAGCATGTTGCTGTTGAAGTCGTCCACCACGCGCATCATCTCCTTGGCAAACTCGAACAGGACCTGCAGGTGCTCCTGTGGGTGGCCACCGTCCTGGCACTGGGCGCCGTTCAGCCCTGATGCAGCCATGTATGTGGCCCCGATGGTCTTGATCTTCTCGATGCTGCTGTAGCCTGGCCTGCTCAGGAGCTCATCGAAGTCCCCAATGAGCTCGTTAAGGACCCGGTAGCACTCCTTGCCCCCCTCGTAGTTCTCCTCGTAGAACTCACTGAAGTTGACGATGCTGGCGAAGATGACGCCTCCACTGTCGTGGTTCTTGGAGTAGGTCTGGGAGACCTTCAGCTGCTCAGCCACGTGGTAGGGGATGATGTTCCTTAGCAGCCAGTCGGCTTGGTCCCTCATGCTCTGGATCTTGGTGCGGTGAAGGTCTGCCTCCACGTCCCCATGGTAGTGCAGGCGGTAGCTGACCTCGAATTCTCGATTCAGGAACCAGACCAACAAGAGCAGGAGAAAGAAGACCAGAACCACCTCCTGGCCAATCCGGCTGGCTGTTCCGCCACCGTGCGGCAAGGAACTATTGCACGGATTCCCCTCAGAACTGGAGAGCAAAGAGAAGAGAAAGGACGTACCTTCTTAAGTGCATCTTTTAAGGAAGAGGTTGCTGCTCAGGGCTTGCAGGTTGTGAAACAGACCAGCTACCTAGCCTCTGCACCAAGTTCTGTGGAGTTCAGCTTGTCAGCGACCTGCAGCCACAAAGCTACCCGACGCCGTTTCGGCTGGCTGAAGGGGTGCCGGATAAGACTGATGTTTGTAACCGATTTCTACGTAACTACTTGGTGACTGCTTTTTCAGGAGCTGTTAGCTCTTTGATTTTAAAAATCTTTTCATTTCCAACAACCTTCTATTTCGAAAATTCGGAACACTATAGGAAAGTTAAGAGACTAGTAATATGTTTGCACACCCTTCTCCTGGATGCAACAATGGCTGACATTTGGCTGCTTCGCTCCTTCCCTCTGCTAGCACACACACGTGCACACACAGCTTTCCTGCTGAACATTATGATATCATGACACTTAGATCCTGAACATTTCAGTCCCTATCTCCTCAGAATAAGGACATGTCCCTATGTAACCACACTACCATCATCATGCCCAAGAAACTTAACATTCTCTGACACACTCACTTTTTAGATTTCTAATCCAAGTTTAGCTCTGAAAGATGTGTAATTTTACAAAGAATTAGTGTAAGTTCTATATTGTCTACTTGTATAAAAGTCCACGAATGTACCATTACCCTCTGGTAGGTTAGTTTTGTTTTGTCAAAGTCATTTAAGACAACGTTAACATTTTTACAAATAATAGGTGTACTTTTTTTTTTTAAGTAGACTCCGGACCAAGCATGGAGTTCCATGCATGATTGAACTCACAACCCTGAGATCAAGACCTGAGCTGAGATCAGGAGTCGGATGCTTAACTGACCGAGCCACCCAGGTGCCCCAATATGTATAAAGAGTAGCACCTTGTGAGAAATTCAAACAGCATAAACAGTAGTATAAAATAAGTATCTTTCCTGTGGGAAAGTTGTGGTTTTCTTGTGGGTTGCAAGAAACTCTAATACATGCATGTACTGTACCAATCAGGTTCCAGCCCTGGGCATTTGGGCTGTGCCCATCCCTCACCCCCAGGGAACACCACTGTGCCGACCCCGTGCATAGGAGGGAGTTGGTCTGCGGGATAAACTACCAGAGTTGGAACTGCTGAGTCACGTCGACTACTGCACATCCAGGATTCCAGTAAAAATTTGCACAGTGCCCCTCTCATTTCTGTTCCCTCCAGTAACCGCCTGCTTCTGGGGGGTAGGGGGCCCTTTCCCTTTCCAGAGTTGGACAGTGCTGACCAGCAACAGCTGTGACTGAAGATTAGCACAAAGGCAGTCCCTTGGAAAGCTTCTTTTTTACAGCTAATTTCTCCATTCAATAGTACTACATTTTCATCAGAAGAAATATAGGGGAAAATGTAGAAAGAAGAAAAGTTTCCTCCACTATTGACCATCCAGAGGCCATCACTGATAACAAGCGTTGGGTTTCCTTCCTGTCTGTCTTCTGTTTACAAAGCTGTGACTGCTCTGTTCATATAAATTCTGGGCCCTGATGTGCTTCTAGAGCACACAGAATGGGCTTCTAGATTTTATGTGGCAATGGGTCGAGTCACTGTATAAATTATATATAAAATGGATGGATCCTTGGTTTCGGTATCTCCATGGCACCAAAAACTCAATTCTGTAATCAGAGCATTGAATAAGTTTTCCTGTTGCCGGTGACCTAAGGACATTATAAAAAACAATGAACTTGACCAATCTGGCCATAATGGTCCTCTATGAAGTACAGTCACAAAGCCCAGGCCTTGGAGTAAGAATCCCAGGACTCTGTCCCAGCTGGACCACTGCAGAGTTCTGGAACCCTGGGCAAGATTTCTAGGTCTCGACTTCCTCACATGTAAACTGAAGATGGGCTAGAGTATCGCTAAGTCCCTATTGGCCTCAGATTCTGTGCAGAAAAGAGTTATTAACATAGCAGGTCTGAGGCTGCCATCCAGAGAAAGGCCTACTGGCAAGAGTGCCTGAGGCTGGCCTCAGGATCTTGGATCTGGGGAGGTAGGTTCCCACTGTGTCTAGAGTGTGCCTTCCTTCTGAGCATCTGGAATTTTGGTCCCTGCAGCAGAGATGCCTATGTGACCAGCCTCTAATAAAAACCCTGGGTATAGAGTCTCTGATGGGCTCCCCAGTGGACACCATGTCACCTGCAGTGTCCAAGCTCACTGCTGGAGGAATTCAGGGCATCCTGGACTACGCCACGGGGACCGGACTCTCGAAAGCTGGCACCTGGTTTCCTTTGGACACTACCTCATGTACCTTTACTCGCTGCCAATTTTGCTTTGTGTCCTCTCACTGTGACAAATCACAGCCATGAATACGACTCTGGGTGGAGTCCTGAATCCTAGCGAATTCCCACTTCTAGGGGTGGTCTTTGGGACCCCTGCCATAAGTTCCATAACTCGTCCCCTGTGAGCTAGAACCAAAAAATGCCTCCATACAGTAAGACACTGTACACTTACCTATTCTTCTGTCATTGAATCAAATGGCAATACATATCACGAATCTCAAGTACTAAACAATTAACTATTCTAGATGACTGAAACAGATTTGTGTCCAGCCCTACATGCCTTCTAACTCGCTTGAGAGTAGGGAGAGAATCTGCAAGAGGAGGCAGTAAGTCTTCTCTTGGGTGAGCCCATCTTGTTGGATGAGGAGGGACCTTTCTTTCTATTTCTCCAAAGTGATAACATCAAGGAACCTCCCCCTTTATGCGTAGACATCACAAAGGCTTAACGTCATCTTAACAGTCCAATCAGACTTTGCAGCCCTGTGGCAGAAATGGGTGCTGTGTCTGGCTTTCCCCAAGCAGGCTGTTGCTCCTGCTTTCCTCACTGTAGCATGGCCTGACTCTGGAGAGGGAAACAGGACAGATCCTCTGGACAGAGGAAGGGAATTATGGAACATAGGCCAGTGTGAGACAGAAAGGGAAGCAGACTGTGATGTCTGTTTTCATCTTGTTTAAAAGGGGAATCCCAATACACAGATGTACACTTAGTGCCAAGGGGCTGCCACACAACAGAGATCTGGAACAAGTAGGAAACAGAATCACTTCCCATCAATAACTGGTATTTCTCTTTCCACTACAGAAGGAACAAAGATGGTGGTCTCATTCCTAAATTCAAATAGCAAAGGTCAGTTCCAAAAAGAGGAACTTTATGGGACTAAATGCAAGAGTCAATTTATGACTTGACAGTTGGACATTAAGTCATAATTGGAAGTTAGAGTAAAATATAGTACAATTCATTATCATGGAAAAGAGGGATTAAAACAGAAAAACAGAAAACAAAGATCACTTACAGTCCTAACCTTAGTTAACCAAGCTTAACATGGAATTTGTTAACATTTTGGTATATTTCAGTGCCATTTAAAATCTATGCCTACAGATGTGAGGCTGGGGAAGTCACCATGCTGGGACACAGAGGGTACTTCTCGGGTCCCTATTTTCTTGGTCCAAGTGGCAGTTAATGGGGTGTGCTCACTTGTGAAAATTCACTGAGCTGGGTTCTTATATCTGGACACTTTTATGTGCACATGTTATATATTCGTCAATAAGAAAGTTTACTTTAAAAAAAAGCCAAGTGTTTTATTTTAAATACTATAGTTGTGATCATCATAGAAACACATTTGCATTCTGCCTTTGTTCCATACTTTAAATCTCCTTCCCAGTGTCTATGTGTCTACAGAGATTTGATTTTTTAATTGTAGAAACAGGAAAAAAAGTCATTCATCACTCTTTACCAGATCATAACTATGACATATCTTACATTTTTTCCATCTATATAATGAACTGCCTACCTCCAAGACAAAGGCAATTTCACATGAGAAGTATTTTTCTTATCCCTGCATCGTAACAGCGGTAATATTTAAGCATCTGACCACAATTTAATTCATTTCTTTTTATTGGCAACTGAAGTTGCTGATGAACTTTCAGTGTCATCATTCATTGTGATCAGTATTTTGGGGTAGGTGGTCTTTATCATATGCTGAATTATCCCCTCGGTAGAGAAGCAAAAATAGAATTATTAGGTCAAAGGCTATGAACATTTCTGCAGATCATCAAATTACTTTCCAAAACTATGTGCCATTCTGAAAAGTACTGAGGCCTGGCAGAAAGAGTGTGCCTGGCAGTGAGGGAGGCCAAGGTTCAAACCCTGCTGATCACTAGCTGTGTGACCACAGGCAGCTTCCTTAACTTCTCTGAACTTCAGCTTCCTCATCTGGAAAATGGGGACAAAGTCACCTAATGTGTCAAATTATTGTGAGAAATAAACCACATGTTATAGGTGCCCGGTAGCTTAATAAAATAAATCCCCACCCGGGGATGAACGCACCAGCCCTTGCCTGTGCTGGGTAATCACAATCTAACATCCTGAAGGTAAAAGACCAAAAGGATTTGATAGTAATTTAAATGTGCAATGATTTCAGTAATAACATATTTAGCGTCTCCCTACATTTCCTCTTGTCAGTTTTTTTCCCTTTATTTATGCAGGTCTTGATCAGCTCTTCATGTAATGGCCCACAGGTACTTTTCTCCACCGCTCGGATTCCCCACACCACCCACCAATGTGTCGATCAGTCTTTTACTTTTGTGCGTGCGTGGTTCTGTTTATTGTTTGTAAGACTGGAAAGTTGTCTCTGTCTTAGAGGCCTGCAAACCAATTCTGTTTTTTCTAGATTTATATAGTTTTATATAATTTAATATTTGTTTCTGCCTCCTCAGCTTATATAAATTTTAGTTTGATGTTTACAGTAAAGCAAGGGTCTAGCATTTGTTATTTCAAATTTCTAGTTAGTAATTTCAAAATATTTCAGGGAATTAAAATATGTACTTTCTTAGATTTGAGATATTTCCTGCGTAACATGCTGATGTCGTATACGAAATTCAGCCCAATCTAGTATGTTCTTAACCACCATTCATTTTCTAAATAAGGTATTGTAACTATGAGCTAGTATTTCAACAAGTAGGTATTTTCCACTTATTCTTTTAAGAATTACATAGAATTCTTTTTATTCAAGATACAAATGCTTTTTAGGAAGCTGAGAAGGACACAGTGCTCATACAATCACCCTTGTTTGTTCAGATACAGGCATGAAGTTAAAAGCTTACCTGAAATTCTGTCCTGCATCAAGGTGTGAAATTACTATGGAACTGAAATTAAAATGCAGAAAAATATTATTATAAAAAGCAAAGAAGGAGTTAAATAAAACGATACAGTAGAATTTAAAAAAACAATTTCCCTTTTTTTTTTAACGTGAAGATCAAGTCAGACAACTAAGGATAGTTAATTCTTTATTATAATTTGATATCCTGTGTGAATTAAAAATCAGAGCAGAGACAGTGACGCAGCCAACAGGACCCCTATCAAGGAGGGAGGCACCATCTCCAGAGAGCAAAACCAAACAAGAAGTCTCGAAGGCATTCGCGTGACATGAGGACTTTCCCACATAGTCCTGCAGGCTAGAAACCAGTCGTGATCAACAGCGATGCCCACTGATAGGACTGATTTAGAAAGGAACTGCTAGAGACGCTGGCTGACCTGAGAGGCTGGACTTTGCCCATCGTGTGCCCAAAGCAATCGAATCCCCATTGTGGGGCATGGAAACCACACACAATAAAGAACTCTCTCGGTGTCGGGGCAGGACCCTTCCCACACACCTCACGGCTTCTTCTGGGGTCCTCTTGCACCAGCATCCTCCCAGATCAGTAAGTCGGCCTCATGCCCCGACACCTCCCGGTCTACTAGATCCATCTGCCCCGCTCATTGCAAAGGGGGACCTTACAAAGCTTCTGCAAGCAGCTTCCCTGGGCAGCAGAGGTGAGGGGATGGCTCAGAGAGGCTTTTAGCATCACAGGGGGTGTTAGATGACTTCATGGGAAAGGGGAGAAAGCAAGAGCTACAGCACCGACGCTGTTCTGAGGCCGTATGCGTTCTCTCTCCCTGCCCAGGCATGACTGTGACACTGTTCCTCTCCAAGTGTGTACAGCCCTTCTTTTATTTCCAAGTCCCTCTGTGAGGCTCGCCTGGTTCTTGGAAGTCCCCTCCCCTACACAGGGGGCCTCTCTGTGTTTGTGTTCATCCCTCCCCATGTTTCCTACCCTGTGAGGCTCAGCAGGGACAGCAGGGTGGGTGGGCTCAAAGGATTCTGTGAGCAGGGAGAAGTACGACGGGAAGGGGAGATTCAGCTGCAGCCCAAGACCTGCTCTTTGAATTCTGGACAAAGGTGATAGAATTGGTCCCTCGTCACTCTGGTCCCTCCAGATCCATGTGGAAAACCCCCACACTAGTGACTGAATGACACTGTGAGTGGCTGAGGGACATCTGTCATGGTTCTTTTAAAAGGTTAAAAGGCAGACTGATGAATCCCATGCTCTTGGGAAAGAGCCTCATTATGACCCTAATTCCAGATGGCCATACCTTCAGGAAGGGAAAATCACGCTTTGTTCTGCTTAAAGTAATTTAACTATTCATTCAAATTTCCTTTCAAATGCTGAATGACAGTTCTGCTTAAAATACCCTTCTGATCTTAATTTGCAGAAAACTTGAATGTCTTTAAGGTTATCATTATTTCATTACGTCTAACTGAGGAGAAGGTTGCTTACTTTGTCCATTACCAACTGCTGCTTTGGAAATACCCAAAGATACACTATGGAGCTTTAATATTTGATACTATGACAAACTGGATCATCTTCTACTTCAGAACTTATTAAAGCAATGGTTCTCAGCAACGGTAATGCCATTCTTAGGGGCATTTTGAAAATGTTGGGGCTCCTTCTGGTTGTCATAATAATTTGAGGAGCCAGGAATGTTCGATGTCCTGCAAGGCACGATGAGGGAATGCCCTGTGTCACTCTGAAATATCTCGCTAGCCTAAACCCATGGTAATTATAAAAAATCAGTTAACATGTTCTAATAGGTAAATGTTTTTATAAGTAATTACCAAAACAAGGTCCAATATTTAGGATGTTTTAAATATAGCACATATCACAGTCATCCTACATATTTTCATTTTTTGTAGCATGATAGTAAGAACCGCTCCTGTTCCTTGGGGCCTTTCCTGCAGACCCCTGCTTCTCCCACGCCATCCCATCTACGCCTTGGCATCTCCCAGTGATGAGGTTTTGAAGGCCATTTGAATACCAGAGACTGAAAGTGTTCTTCAATATGTGGAACAACTTCAAGATTTCCAGTTACTAGTCATTACTCCGTTTCACGCCTTGCCACACATGTCACAACAGTGAGTTGGTATTCATAAATAAGGCCCAGGCCACTACCGAGAGCCTTACCTCCTCGCTTCCTCTCCTTCAGCAACCTGCAAACTGTCTGGTTGAATTACCCTTACTCCAATGAAGTTAGAACCAGCTTCCTCTTTGCCTTCTTGGGTCTCCCTATATCTCTACTCCTTCACTTTCTTGATCATCTCATACGAAACGGCTTCTGGTCCTACTTCTCTGTCATAAGTAAGTTCAAGCATGAGTCTACTGCACTACGTCCCAGGCAGGGGTCACCTGGGGATGTCGATATGCAAATACACATTATGTCATGAAAAACTACTTTCTTTTTTTTTCTTTTGCATATTAGTCTTCGGACTTTTCATGAGGATGTTGGCATTGTGTATGTTGAAAGTTACATCATGTTGTGACAGTATCTGGGAGGGCAGAGAGAGAGGGCATTGGCACAGATGTGAAAAACAAGCGAGGTCAGGAAAGGTGTCCCAGCCAGCGAGGACAACAGATGCAGAGCACAGTGGCAGACCTACCTATCAGGGCACAGGGAGATGCAGAGCAGGAGCAGGGGCCCCGCCCCGACGACTGTGGCTAAGGAGGACCTCATCCAGGAGCTGAGCTGGCAGAAGTTACAGTAGTGCACGACGGTGATCAGGACGGCTGAACCCATGAACACGGTGACCTGCAAGGAGGGGCTGGCACAGTTAGTGACCCATCCTGCCCTCGCTGTGCAGGCTCTGTGCCTCACTTCCAGCTGAGCATGCTGATATCAAAAGATTCACTCACTTATCTTTCTTTCGATATAAAAATACCACGGATATCGCAAAGTATCTGGCCGTTTCAGGGACAGATCATAAATCATTGGGTTAATCACCCAGGGCTTTAGGCAGCAAGCTTGTGCTGGCACTAAAACTCTCCTCCAGATGTGTGCAGACTGCGCACGTCATTCCAGAGGAGAGGGAAGGTAGACCACCTATCTCAATGCTGCTACCGTGGAAGTGGTTACCTTTACGAAGCCTTCCTTCAGGCATCCTGCTACCTGCCCGCGGAAATGTCACTTGGTGTTAAAGTATCAAATGCAGTCAGCCCACCTGGCAGCTCATGTTACACTCACTTTCACCAAAAACAGAACTTTCCACAAGGGTATTAACTCAGTCTTTGTGGGGTTTAACTCGGAATCTCCTTCCCTGATCAACAGCAGCGGGCCCAGATGCCAGTCACCTAGCTGTGCCAGCTCGATAGGAAAGCACCGTATCTTATCTGGAAACATGGGGCAGACGCTGTTTTGTAAAATGCATGGGAAAATACCTGGTTTGGAGCTCGGTGAGCAGCAGGTGAGGCTCGAGAGGGCACATGGGAGCTGGGCAGGGCAGCATCGTACCCACCTCTCCCTGACCGTGGTCAGTGATGGGCTTGAGCGTCTAGACGGATCAGGTACTACCCTCCCTGCCTACTCCTCTGTCCCAGGCAAGACTTTTAAGAAGACAAGCTCAAGGTGGTGACAAAGAATTTGTACCTCTTTAAAGGCCTATATTTAAAGTGTCCCAAGTCATCAAGCCTATTAAAAAAAAAAAAAATAAAGATGAGGGAGTCCTGAAGAGCCCAGAAACAAAGTCACTGGGCCTTTACTTACGTGTATGTTTGTCTCAAATTCAGAGGTGACGTGTGAATAGACCGCAAGAGCAGGGAGTGACACCAGGATGGCCCCAATGAAATGGCGTGGGAGCCAGCCAGCTATCCACTCCAGCAGGCGCTTTGTACAAGCCATCACGTCCTCCAGGAAAAACACCATCCTGGGATGAGGAGGGAGAAAGGAGAAATGGGGTGTCTGTGGACAGGTCAGCCTGCTGGGGAAGTTGAGGGTGGGAGACCCACCAACTCTCACCTCTGTGGCCGCGGGGCGTGTGGGAGCCGGTGGAGCCCCCCGCCCCCGCCCCACTTTAGGTCGGCGGCAAGTACGTGGGGCTTGCTCGGCTCATCATACCTTATTTTAAGGTCATCTGCTGCATACTGACAACGCATGTTTGTACAAAGCCAAGCATGAGCTTCTGCGGGTCTCAAAGTCGATGTGAGAACTGGGCACACAAATGTTACCAGGCCCCTCAGAGGCCATTTTTGCTGTCACAGGCTGCTGAGGCCCTTTGGAGGCATCTGGGAATCTGGCAGGGCCTTTTGGTTGTCACAGGGACTATGACAAGGGGTGTGGCCAGCTCCTGGTGGGCAGGAGCCAGGGATGGAGGGGGCGGTGTGCACCGAGACACACAGGACAGCCACATGCCCTCTAGACACCACAGATGGGCGAGCCCTGCTGCCAATGACCTCAGCCCAGAGTCTCGTCGTGTCTCGGTGCTGCTAACACACACTGATCTTCCAGGAATTAACCACTATGTGAAGTGCCCGTTGCTTTGGCACCTCAGCAAGGCTCACTCAGCGTTTCAGAAATCACGCCACAGGCGGCAACCCAGTGCTTGTGCCACCAAGCCCACACACCGCAAGCGGTCCTCATCTGGAGCCATCTCATTTGTGCAACCATGCGCTTGAGGACAAAGCCAACGATTCTGCTCAGACTTCCCCAGGGGCGGTGTCCTGGCAAAAATGAGGTGCAGCGCTACAGATTTTATTTTAAATCGCTCTCTTGCTCTCTCTCCTTCACATTGGGAGTGACAGCATTTCATCGACTCCTCCTGAAGTCGTGTGCGTAAGTAGGCTGTATTTCAGGATCGTCACATGGCTATCACAAAATAATTACCATAAAGAAGGGGGAAGAAGTGCGTGGGGCTGAGAAGCGCTGTTCAGAAGGAAGAACAGTGTGGCTAAGGGAGGGGCCCTGGGGTCAGCAGGGGCCAGTAACTGGATGCCAGCAGCAGGAGATGGAAGAAGGGGTACCGTGGTTCAGCTGGGCAGAGACCCAGACACACAGACCTTCTCTGAAGCCAGGCCCCCAGGCAGGGGGAGAAGGGACAGGTGCACTGTCCCCACCTCTGGAAGTGACAGGAGCTGCCGCTGAGCTTCAACGGCACAAGTTCCCCTCAAGGGTGGTCGCCACACACCCAGGTGCCTGCACCTTCCGTCCATGACACCCGCAGTGCAGCGACCACTGGCTACAAATGCGTGATCACCAGGAGGAAACCGCGGATCTCAGCCATTTTCCACATGGAACCAGGCCCTGTCTGACCCTTTCAGGGCCTGGATGGTTCTGGCCTCCTGACACTTAACAGATAATGGAATCCTGGGAATACTTCCAAGAATAACCACAAATATGCTCAAAGGCAGAATACATAAGCCCCATGAGGAGACAGAGGAAGCCAAGTTCCAACAGGGAGAAGGCAGGACTGGGAGGCCCCCATGAAGGTCTCCAGGACGGCAGAGCTCTGAGGATGAGACCCACTGTTCCCACACTTGCCTGGGTTCAGCACAAAATGAGGGGAGTGAAGGGATGGGCTGCGAGTCCAGATGCACGAAGGCCTCTGGAGGAGGGGCAGCTGCAGAACCAGCCCCCCCAGGGCACCCGCGTACTCTGCACCATAGATTCCTGTTGACCTGGGATCCTACATATGCCCTCCGCGTGGTGACAGGGAGCTCTGTCTCGTTCCCAGCCCCTCCCAGGCTTTGATGATTTGGGTGAAGTGAACTTTTAGAGTCACACCAGCGGTCACTCAGGAGCGGCTGCCACCTCATTTGGAAGGCGCTGGCTGAGCACTTGGGCATGACACGGCGGCACACACCTGGGTGCGTGTCTCCGTGGCCTGGAGCGCTCTGCAGTCTCCAGACTGGCGTTAGCCCAGACTCTGTAGAAGCGGGTCCAAAGGAACAGGGAACAGTGGTGTAAAGGGCTTTTGAAAAAGGTATGGAGACAATGCTAGTCTCTGAGAGAGCAGGAGTCTTATCTAGCTGTAGGCCCTGTGTCAGACGGAAACCTGGACCCAGAGAAGGGGGAGTGGGCATGAGGAGACTCACTGCCCAGGGGTGCCGGGTTTTCTTTGGGTGATAGAAATGTTCTAAAATTACATGGTGATGTCTGCACAACTCTGTAGGTTTACTAGGAATCACTGAACTGTATACTTGCAAGAGTGTATTTCCTGTATGTGAATTATATCACAATAAGGCTGATTTTAAAAAGGAAAAGACAAACTAGGGGCCTGAAGATGCCTTGGTTTGGATTCCCCAGAAGCAGAGCTGATTTGAGAGTGGGTCCCAGGCAGCTCAGCAAGGGTTGTAGAGCCGAGACTCGAGGCGCAGACCCACAGGGAAGGCTGTGTTATAAGAAGACCTATGCTGGACACCACGCAGCTCAATCCTGGTAGGAAATTTGGGTAAACAGTGAGGACGCACCCTGCAGTTATCTCAACCTGGAGGAGGCACAGGGGTCAAGTGTGAAGCCTTTGGTGACCAGAAAAGACCCTCTGCAAAGAGCCACAGGAGTGGGAGCAGGGATGGGGGAACGAGGGGAGGGCAATCCAGCCCATATAGTTCAAAGTTGGGAGGGGACGGGGGGGGACTAGCGTTCAGAAGTCACAGGGCAGACCAGGGCTGTTGTTTCCTATTCTGGGGTGTTGGGGAAGGGAGGGAGAAACTCGAGGTCAGTGCCCTTCTCCCCATTTCTGTTTCACCTCCAACTTCCGGAGGCAATCACCAGCAGGACTGCCTGTTGAGATGGACAGGGCTGGACAGAGGAGGTGGTCACTGTGCCCAGGAGGCATATGGGGGTGGGGGTGTTGCACATGTGAATGGAGTATCTTGTGCATTCACACTTAGTCAGAAGTACTCAGAGCAGCTGTGAGCTTCCCTGGGTGCTGGGCTGAGTGGATCGTGAGGGCCTACCTTCCCTGAGGGGTCCCCACTGTCTAGCCAGACCTTCTGTCCACTTCTAAATGGGTTGCTGGTCTATTACTGAGCTTACATTCTAGGTATCAGACCTCACCACAGACAGGGAGGAAGCAGGACTGGGAGGTCCTCTGCACATTCCTCTCCTGTCCTGCAGGCCCCCTCTCACTCTGGTGTGAGAAGGGACAGGTACTCTTTGGAAGGGAGAAGCTTCACATTTTCATGAGGTCCAACTTATCTCTTCTTTCTCTGGCTGCTCATGCTTCTCAGTCATAGCTAAGAAACCACTGTCTGACCCAAGCTCGTGGAGAGGAACACCTACAATCCTTCTGAGGGTTTCAAGTCTTGCTTTCACATCTGGAAGGGGCACCTGCTGACCCATCATGGGCTCCCTGTATGCTTCCATTCTGTTTCTCTTCCCTTTCTCACCCCCTCTCTTCCCATTTGTTCTTTTTTAAGTCTCTGAGGGGGGAGATCCTGGGACTGGTTGGCAGCTGAGGGGCTGCAAAGGACACTGACTCTGTGGCAAAGAAGGTGCCCACCTGTGCGGAGGGCCGGGGTCTGTGAGAGAGGACGCTGAGCAGCAGAGCTGGGGGAGGGAAGGAAAGAGGACCCGGTCACCTGAAATGAGCTTGCGGAGGCCTCTGGTGTGGGGAGGCCGGTCCACGGAGCGGCCACCAGACTGCGCAGCCATTAACTGTGGAGCCAGCAGAGGGAGCTAAAGGCTAAAATCTGGAACAGAGCTGAGCAGGTGAGCCCTTACCTGATGGAGACCACGAGGGACAGCACCTCCAGCAGCAGGGCAGCGCCGAAGACTGCCAGGGCGGCAGGTGGGGGAGACATGGAGGCAGCCCCATACTTCAGAAAGCAGGTGATGGAGAGAATCAGAAAAACTGTTGTCGACAGAAACACATCTAGCAGGGAGCTGAAGGTGGCACTGGCAAAAGTCTTCACGGGAGAATTCTTTATAACCTGTTTGGGAAAGGAGGGGGGGTGGGAGGCATGAGTGGAAGCTCCAACAGGTGGCGATGGAGTAGGATTTTGATGGAAAACACAGCAAACATTTGTGGAGCACTTGCCCATCCTGGACCTAGCACAGGTGGTAAGGGCTTGAGGTGGGCCATCTCTCTTATTCCATTCAACAACGAGGAAACAAGGCACAGAGCAGTGAGAAATGCACAAGGTCACACAGCAAGCTATTATAAACCAGTGAGTTCTCAAACAGATTATATCCTGGGCCTGAAAGCTGGGTTATGGACCCTGCATCTGTAAAAGCCATTGCACAATTTTCTGGAAGCTTCCAGTGAATGGTTGGGTCCCAGGTTCACGGTGTGTGAAAGCTGGCTTCGAGGCAGAAGTAGCAGGCAGGCACCGAAGCAACAGCAGGTGAAGCATAGGTATGCCAATGGATAGTACGAGATGCTTGTGCCTTCACTCAAGAGCCTGCTCTGGGCCTGGCTCTGCGTGGGGTGCTGGAGGCAGACATGAAACATAGCCCTCAGGAAGGCTCAGAGCCTAACAGGGGACGGACAGGGTCTGGAATGTCAGGGTGGTATGGTAAATGTGACAAAGAGCCACGCATGTGGTGTTCGGGAGTCACCAGGAAGGAGGGACAAAATGAGGAAAGTACAGAGCAAAGGAGCCTGGAGATGACACGCCAGTGATGTCAGAAAAAGGGGCACTGAAAGATAGGGGGTCTTCTCCCCGTGTGGATTTGGGGTTTCCAGATCATGGGAAATCAGTATTAGCCTTCATTTTCCTATCACTCGAGGATGGGAAACAAGGCTGCAGAAGCACGAAGCTGACTGTGAACTACCCGGGGCAGACAGCAAATCTCTTCTCTAGATGTAGAAGGGGAAACGCACCTCTTCTTGATAGCTGGTCCTGTAGGATCGCTCTAGCTCCTGATCCAAGAAGTTCAAGCTGAACTGATTGATGGGTGGCTTGAAAAAATAATCTTTCATCAGGCTAGGAGAAACAAAACATGCAGGTGATCAGCGCGGCACAGTCACTGAGCTCTCTCTATCGGCAGACTCCAGTCAGCCTCCCAGACACCAGTCCTGAAGCATGTCATATGGTCCACGTCTGGGAGTCACTACGTAAAGATACTGCTTGACCCTCCTTGAGAACATACGTCTGGAAAGTGCTTTGTATTTTCAGAATACACGTTATGTTTCCTCTCCACTAAAGCAGGACTGTTTGCAGTCAGTATAGCATACGTCATGAGCACCATGATTCTGGAGATATCTTCCAGTGTCTGGGGAAGCAGGCAGCTCTGCTGTGCTAGGAAACCACCGCTCTGAAGGACCAGACATCCCTGTACCGAGGACTTAGGCTGATTCCAAGGCTTCTGATGGAGACCTAACTCAGAGCCGCTGTCCAGTCATTCAGAGCACTGACAGTAATGACCACCATCAGAGCTGACGGGTCGTTATCACAAAACTGTTTAGAGTCACCATAATTGGAGTGCTATTGTCACATATGCAGACTGCGTGTGAAACCTGAAAAATAACACTCAATGGTTTTAAACAAGCAGAGACATCAAACCTGCTTTATGTGACTCATTCTTTTATGGTTGCTAGCAAATAGTAGTATCTTTTTTATAAGGCAGGAAATTTAAGAGAGTGTTAACATGATTTCAGAAGGCAAATACAGCCATGGAGTGTAGTCTCTCTCCCTCACACAAGAACGCCTGTAATTACATCAGATAAAATAGTCACTCCCCTGTGCCTGACACACAGGGTCCCTGCAGCCCAGTGGACTCTCTGTGACAAGTGTGCCATACCTCACTATGCTCTCAGACTCGGAAGAGAGAAAATTCCATCCCCGAAGGCAGATCCCCATCTTCCCTTCCACCCAGCAAGTGTGGACAGAGGGAAAACCAGCACAGCAAGCCATACAGAGGACATGCAATGGCCACATGTAGCTAGACACCGTGCTGTTCTTCTGAAATTAATATTGACAAGTTCCTTTTCTGGGCACAGAGATTAGCTCCTTTTGGGCCAGTCCTCTCTGAAATAACAAGAGTAAACTCTGGGAAAGATGTAAAAATGACTCGTAGAAGGTACTGGAGACTGACCAAAGGAGGTAGGAAATGGAAGAGAGTCACTCCTGGAAGAAGGGAACAGCACCAGCTTAATTTCCCATGTTTTGCTGTTTTTCTTTTTTGCTTGAAGACAGCCATTAGTCAGCACCACATGCAGGACAGCTAAAACTCAGATGGAAAAGCCACAATCTCCCTGGCTTGGAAAATCAGAAAATAATGTTTGGGGTGTCCACAGTTGGTAAATGAGGTTGAAAATCCCAGAAAAAGAAAAAAAAAAAAAAAGAGAGAAGGGATATCCCCAAATTCGTCATATGAGCTTTTGCTCGAATCTCTGGCTGACCCCTCAAATCTGCATGAGCACAGCAGACTCCAAGAAGCCTAATTAAGGCTTAAAAAAGAGCAGCAGCTGCCTATACCAGGGGAGACAAAGTTTGCTGTGGGAGTTTACATAAGTTAACTACATGTTAAAACAAACAAGCAAAGAAACAAAATATTGACACTCTTTAGAGCAATATAACAGAATCCAGAGTTTCTAAGCACCACACAAGCCAAATTTACACAACATACGAAGAAACAGGAAAATATGATCCAACTCAACAGAAGGGCAATCAGTGGAGGCAATCTGAGATTACCGAGAGGGTGGTATTAGAGGTCAGGGTCACAATGTATGCCAAGGTAACACAAGTGAAAACTACAGCATAAGGGGTGGGAAGTGAGTAATGGTTCTACACAGGTACAAGATGTCTACATTTCAAGTAAAATGATACAGGGTTTCCTGGCCAGCTCAGTCAGAAGAGCATGTGAATTTTGACCTCGGGGTCACGAGTTCAGGACCAACGTTGGGTGTAGAGATTACTTACGTAAACAAGTAAACTGAAAAAAAAGAGTGAAATGATTCAATGTTAACCATAGGAAGACTATAAAAAATTCAAGGATGCCTATCTGTAAGTCCTGGAGCAACTACCAAAAAAAAAAAATCATAATAATGCAAAGAAGTATGGCTAAAAAGCCAGAAAATATATACAAATGGAATTAAATGGCAGAGACTTTTAGAACGATTTAAAAAGCAGACTCATAAGAGACACACTTCAAATAAAGGATACAGGTTGAAATTTTTTTTAAACAGAAATTGATACACCAAGCAACTAGTAAAAATAAGAAGGTTACAGTTACTATATTAGTATCAGATAAAGTGGTTTTTACAACAGAGTATTACCAGGGATAACGAGGGACACTTCAAAATGACAAAAGGACAAATTCACCAGGAATTTATAACACTCATAAATGTGTATGTACCTAAAAAAAAAAAAAAAAGCATGAAAATACTTGAAACAAAAACTGTCAGGACTAAAAGGAGACACAGAAAAATCCACAATTATAGTGAAAAATTTCTAAATCCCTCTCTTAACACTGATAGAGCAATAGATGAAAAGTAAGAAGACAGATGATCTAATGCTGCCAACCTCCTGGACCTAACTGTGTCTATGGATCGCAACACCCTACAAATGCATGTGGTTTGTTCATGAAAACAGACACGTGTGAGACCACAAAAAAAGTATCAATAAATGTAAAAGGGCTGAAATCATACCAAGTATGTCTTTGGCTACAATGACATTAAATCAGACACTAACAACACACATTTCGAAATACCATTCTTCATTAAAAGGAGCCAAGGCTCTTTGGACAAACGGCTGATTCCTGACTAGGGTTAGGGAAGATCTAAGACGAGCCTGGAACATCCTGTTGTGCTGGAAGAGGGATCGAGAAACTAAAAAACAATTGGTGGAGGCGCTCCTGGATGGCTCAGTCAGTGAAGAGTCCTACTCTTGGTTGTGGCTCAGGTTGTGATCTCAGGGTCCTGTGTTGGGCTCCCTGCTCAGCAGAGAGTCTGTCTCTCTCTCCCTGGGCTCCTCCTATGCCCTCTCTAAAATGAATTTTTTTTTTAATGATGGAGCCATGTCAAAGTGCAGTTGGTGCTGAAGTAGGAGAACTGACATTCTGAACCATCACAGTAAAGACTATTTTAAGCAAGAACCACGATGGAGATGAAATCTAGGGAAGTATGCTGAGGAATGGAGTGCACGCATGATCTTAAAGTACTGCTTACTGGTCACAAGGAGAAAATAACCACAGACTGGAGAGGTCAACACTTGCCTGGTTGCTCAAAATTACTATCACTGACGGAAGACAAATGGGCCCCATTTGCCTCTGGATGGGATGCCTGAGAGGGATACATCATTTCTGTGGCCAAAATTTCCAGCCAAACTGGCATATGAACTGAAGATTGGGTCAAATATGCATCCATATTGGATTTCCTGAATTTGGTAACCATGATTATGTAAAAGAACATCTTTGTAATTTAGGAAATTTAGTATTTAGGGGCAAAAGGAATGATATATCCAACTTAGCATCAAATGGCCCAGGAAAAACAACAACATAAATTTCATAAGAGAGAGAATAAAACAGAGTAAAATATTAAAAGCTGGTAAATCAGGCAAAGGGTAGAATGAGAATTCTTTGTATTAGTCATGTAACTTTTCTGTAAGTTTCAAATTATTTCAAAATAAAATAAAATATTGACAATAGAAAGGCAAACATATGAGGATAAGGTGACTCAGAAAAAGGGAGACTCCTACCTGCAAATCCTTACTTTCATTGGTCATGGTTGACTCTTACCTGTCCTCTTTGATAACGTCAACAAAATGGGCATCTGTTTTCTCCCGGATGTTCTTGAACCTCAGCGGAAGGAGAGCTGACTGGTCCAAGCTCACTCCTGCCCACCTTCCCTTTTCCTGTAAGATCTCACACAGGGAGGTCTGACTGTTGGTGAGTTTCTCCTCTTGGGGAGGGCTCAGAAGTCCGTTCTGAGTTTTGGAATTCGGTGCTCCAGGAGCCTGCCTCAAGACAAGGGTTGGGGGGCGCAGACACAGAGGCTGCAGTGTGAGCACACAACAGCGCCACTCCAGCCCCAGCTAGGCCGTGCGGGGGCCCCACTGCACACCTGACCAGCACCTTCACATCTCTGTTCTAACCTGACACTCAACCTCTCTACCCATCTGCTTCTCCCCATCCCCCGTCCCGTCAGATTACACCTTGGGGGTTGAGGCAGCCTGGAAGGTGTGACATCGTGGGAAGAGCTAATGAGGAGGTCTGAGAAGAGCTGAGGCTCTTGGAGCTTGCTAACCACAGAATCAGCATTACAGAGGGCCATGGGCAAAGGTTTGGGGGACTAGAGCGGTAGATGTGGTATGGAGATCCATCCAGAGGAAGGTGGCAGGTGGCACAATGGTGGAGGATAACAGACAAAAGCCTTCCTTTGTCTGTTCTTAGAGCGGCTCTCAGATTTGGTCTCTGTCCTGCTTTTTAGTGCAGCCCTAGGTCTGTCTCCAGGTGAGACTTCCCTGGCAGTGTCCTCGCTACTGGCCCTGACCCCAAGCCTCTCTCCACGCTGCACCTTTGCGCTTGCCGAGCCCCCTCTTCTCTCTGCACGTCTTCTACTGCATGTTCCGGCCCCAGAGATTGTCCCTAGCTACGGCGGTCCACGTGGCTTTAAGCTCTTCCTGCCCAAGAAGAGAGCCCCATGCAGCTGCGCACGTGTTATTCTGCTTCACAGGGGTTAGACCTGATTCTCCGTCCTCATCTTTACTGCTCTATTCAAAACCCCCAGGATGAGAAGGTGTGGAACAGTGTCACCTACAAGGAGTTATTCTGAGAATCGAGAAGCTGACAAGACAGGAAGGTCACCTCTGATGGAGGCACCAGGAAAGGAACCCACAGGAACAGCCAAGAGCTTACCTTGGTGCTGTTTTTATGCTCCTCTTGACAGCCGTTCTGGACCGCTCCTCCTTCTGCACCCGCTTCTGATCTGGGGGCAAATGTGATTCCGCAGGAAGGACAAGTCTACAAGAAAAACATACACCATAGGAACACAGCCAGAAAGCTCCACGACCACAACCCGTAATTCAAACCTATCGTTGCAACTGGCTGTCACGCTGAAAGGCGGTAACCAAGGGGAAGGCTTCCTGAACCACTGGAGCAGAGTTAAAACACACTGGTGAAGTGAAAACAGAAACACGTCCACACGAAGACTGGCACGTGGGTAGTCAGAGCAGTGTTATCCATAACAGCCAAAAAGCAGAAGCAACTCGAATGTCCGTCAATGAATGAATGGATCAACAATGTGGTCTGTCCCAGAATGGAATATTATTCAGCCGTCAAAGGGAACAAAACAGGGCACCTGGGTGGCTCAGTGGGTTAAAGCCTTCGACTTTGGCTCAGGTCATGATCCCAGGGTCCTGGGATAGAGCCCCACATCAGGCTCTCTGCTCAGCAGAGAGCCTGCCTCCCTCCCCTCTGTCTACTTGTGATCTCTGTCTGTCAAATAAATAAAATCTAAATATATATATATATATATATATATATATGGAGGAACAAAACAATGACACGTACTCCATCACGGACGAACCTTGCAAACGTTGTCAGGGGACGGAAGCCAGACACAAGGGGCCACATGTTACATGATTCTGTCTGTAGAAAGTGTCCAGAAAAGGCAAACTCATATAGAGGTGGTAGATTAGTGTGTGCCAGGAGCAAGGGGGCGAAGGGAATGGGGAGTGACCTAATGGGTGCAGAGTTCCTTCTCGGAGGGGTGAGGAAAATGTTCCAAAACTGGCTGTGGTGATGGTTGTACAATCTTGCAAATATACTAAAAACCACCAAACAGTACACTTTAGAAGGGTAAATTTTATGGTAACATGAATTATATATCAATAAAGCTGTTACTAAGCCAAGCAACCAGCCGCTAGCCTACATGAGGTTCTTGAGCTCTGTGTGGTGGTGAGCTGCTCATGTAGGTCCCAGCTCAGGCTGGGAAGTCAGAGGGTCACGCTTACAGACCTAGGAGTTCTCAGAAGCAATTAACTGAATAGAAGAGCAATTAACTGACTAGAAGAGAGAAGGTGAGGCCCACTACCATCAGGAGAGCAGAAAGGGCCAGGCTTTTCTCCTCACAACCAGGGTGTGGAGCTGCCCTGTTCAAATCGCTCACCTCCATCCTCTCACCGATAAAACCAGGGTGGGGACACGGCTCTTGCAGATGTGTAGTAAGAACTAAGTGAAGATGTGTGTAGCTACTCTAGCCTTGCTCCCAGCGCTCCGTGCCCCCTCAGTCAATCCACTCCTACGATCAGTGGGACCCAGTCAACTGGCTGCCGCCACCGAGACAGCAGCTGAGAGCTCCCAGTGGGGACGACGAACGCAAGCAGGACAGAGTTAGGGGACTCTGACAATTCCTAGGGTGACAAGCTCGATTACACACTGGAATACGTTACAGGAGGCTAGACACTATTTTAGAAATTCAAAATAAGTATCACTTTGTACCCACAGGCAAGGATATGAGCTCCATCACATCCCAAGTTAGATTTCAGGCCTCTATTGTATTAAATAAAAGAAATGCTCTAAAGAGTTTTGTCTTCTGGGATTCTGATGCAATGAGCAAGTTTCAACATTCGTATTCATTCAAAAAATGAAAATACATGTGCCAAAGCAGCAGGCCAAGTCATTAACTAACTACCCGAGCAAACAGCAGTACCAAGGTAAAATATGCCTATAGCTCTTTATTTTTATTTTTATTTTTTAAAGATTTTATTTATTTATTTGACAGAGATCACAAGTAGGCAGAGAGGCAGGCAGAGAGAGAGAGAGTGGGAAGCAGGCTCCCTGCCGAGTGGAGAGCCTGATGTGGGGCTCGATGTGGAGCTCCATCCTAGGACCCTGGGATCATGACCCAAGCCGAAAGCAGAGGCTTAACCCACTGAGCCACCCAGACGCCCCTGCCTATAGCTCTTTAAACACTGACAGTATTAACAGGGGCAGAGCGTTCTAATTGTTAGTATAATATATAAATCTATTTTAATGCACCCTGGTAATGACTGAGTTAAACTTCAAATCATGTTGCTAATGGGGCCACTGATCTTCTCAAATGAAAAAACAAAATCCAAACAAAATCCAACACCATGCCCCTGGAAGGGCCCTCCCAGCCCCCTCCGGAGGGGTGACGTCACCGAGCTTCAGTGATGAGCCCAGCAGACTCCTGAGGGCACTCCTAAGCGGGGGTGGGAGTGAATGGCTCTGGTAGTGGCGGTGGTGGCAGGATGCTCCTCGAGCACGATACCAGCCCTTGAGAGGGCCACCTGGCAGCCCAAGGGGAGTGGGGGCACCACGTGGTGCCCAGGACAGTCCCAGACACTCTAATCTGGGTCATACCCTTAGGGTCTGGGGCTTTCCCCAGTCTTGGACAGACGTGACACAATAGCATGAGGTATTTCTCTGGCCACTCTTCACACTCAAAGACTAGAGAAGTAGTGTGAAGACACTAGTTCTAGTTAGTTCCTGGAGGCTGCTCCAGTGATGACTGGTAGTGGAGCACAGGGATCGGGGTGCTGGCATTGAGATCCAACTGTCATGGACCAAATCCAGGATCAAATGCTGACTAGGGTAGGGGGAGCTCCAAGCCTCGGTTTCTCCTTTCCACAACAGGACTGCGTCTCCCACAGCTGACGTCATGCAAGAGGGAGCAAGGATGAGGACGCCACATCCTGGCCCCACGGGAGGACTGCAGCTGACGGGATGTCCAGCAGTGGGCAGGAGAGGCTGCACAAACGGACAGACAGGTATTTCCCATCCCGGACTCTGCTTGAGGTGCTAGTCAGTATTCAACACATGTTGGTCCTTAACAGTCAAACCTCTGGCTATGAAGACAGCACATCTGCCCTTTCATGTCCTTATCAGCAACAGAACGGCCATCCTTGGTATCTCTTGGCCTCATTTTGCTCCTAAGTACTTTTCTCTCCTCAAGCACACCATGTGTATTTTAGAAACAGACTGTCTGCTTCTTAGGAACTTCCCATGGCACGCTGGCTTTACACAGAAGATGTTTATACACTTAGAGCCACAAATAGGCAACAGAGACTAGCAAACCTACTGGACAGCAGAGGGCACACACTGTCTGTGAAAGATTCCCTGCACATGCACCAAAGGCACATGACTTCGGAATTGTGCCCTCTCTCTGGAGGCTGACCTCGAAGGGGCTGGAAGGCCCGTGGAGCCCGGGAGTGTCCATGGGGACTGCGCTGATCTCCAGGAGGCTATGACTATGGTCTTCACGACTGGGCAACCCAAGTCCACGTGCCTTTGACACAGAGGCTAGGCGGCCTGAACCTGGCCAGGAAACAATGTTCTAATACAGAGGTAAGGTCTGGTAGACTGTCCACAAAATAACCTCAGGAAGCAAAGGCACAGACGTAATGTTCATAAATGGTCTCAAAGAATGTCCTCAGGGAGGTTCAGGTGCATGTCAGAGTCACATGAGAAGCAGTAGAGAGCAGGCCCTGTGGCTGGGACTCCCCATGGTCTGAACAGTGCTCACTACTCCCTCTGCACCTACAACAGCTTCTTCCAGGGAATGGGGACACCAGGGGCAGCGGGGAGAACCAGTTGTGGACTCCAGGCCCCCCGTAGCAAAGCAGCCCCAGGAACATAGAGCACATGGACCCACACCATCATTTCATTGTGCTTTGAAAATATGGCTTTTTGTCCTCCTATGTCTTCCTCATCTACTTTGCTTTTGGGGGGAAATTTCATTGATTAAATCTTTATAACAAATGAAACAAAAAATCTTAGAGAAGACCACCTGCCCGATGGAGACATCCGCACATCTCCACATTCCCTTCTGACGTGCGGCGAGCTTCCTTTCTGCACCAGAAAGGTCCCACTAGGCAACAGAGGGTGGGTCTCTTTCCCCTTTCCACTACCCACAAAAACTTGAACTGTTTTCCAGCTTCATTTTAATCTGAGTTAAAAACCTGTCAAAAACTAGTTTTTGCCAAGCACACAGATACCTCCGTGAAATGTTTCCTCACCCATTAAACATATGACTCTCCTCCTGCTGAGAAGCCCTCACCCAAAAGAGCATTTTGGACTTTGGGGAATTATCTGGGGGGTACCTTACCATCTTGGGAGGCACGCCTGATGCATCGGATAAAATCACTCGTACAATGGTAACAGCTGCCGTGATGGGGAAGCACCTGTGTGCTGAGCGCACACGTGTGAACACGAATCCATGCAGCGTCCGTGCTCTCGTGCGCCCGATCTCAGTTAATCCTCATAACACACCACGAGGCCGAGCAGAGGACACAAAGGTTCATCATCTGTGGGAGTCGGCCTGCAGGCTCCTGGTCCCTGACCATTGTGCAGCCTCTCTCTGGCCTCCCTTCCTAACACAGAGAGAACCCCGGAATAATCCTGGCACTATGACCTCCTGGGCCTCGTTCCCCTGAAGCAACCCAAGCAGTTATGACCACCTCCTGGTGCTTCTAAGTGGCACTACTGGCACACTGGCACCAAGGGAAGCTTTATTAAGACGAGCTAAGGTCCCCAAAACAGAGTACTCGACGGGCCAAGGAGTGTGCTGGTTGCTGCCTGGGAAACCTAAGATCCCTTGGAGAACACCCAAGAGCAAACTCTGCTCTTTCCCAGATGATCTCTGCTCCTTCCCCCAGTGCGGACGTGGGCTTTGGAGGGAGATGGGAACTACTTCTCTAACACACATTTCTCTAACACATTTGCATTTGTTTTTAACACATCTCAATACACACATGCTACATCCTGTTTGGAATAAATGGCATAGAACTATAAAATGGGTTTTTCTTCAAGGCTATTTCTCTTCACAAGATAAATCATTTCTAGGCCAACAGCTGTCCTTTTTCATAACTGTCAAGGAAGAGAGGAGGGAAACCTCTTTTCTGAGAAATGAAGAGGAAATATCAGAAAAGCACTGGCTCTGCCTGTTTAGTCTGCTGAACATGACTATTTGGTAAGCTGTCCTAGGACCAAGAGAAGCA